GCGTGTTCAGTTCCAGCTGCAATTTGTACAATCTCAAAAAGGGACATTACTTACTTTTCTCATAATTTGCCTTACTACCCTATGAAAGCTTCTTCACCCCCCTATTACTTATAATAAATAGACGCAAAGTACAAGCATTCATTTAATAAGACAGTGCCATTCCCCAGCCCCCTTTCAGCCTATTATGATGCATCAGACACAGTAATGACCTCACAAGAGTATTTCAAGCCATGTAAAAGAATTCAATTTTTTAAAATCTGGTAATAACTTTTTCTTAATGGCCATGTATTCCCTATGGGTCCATCTTGAATCCAGGACATTTTTAATTAGTCTTTTTGATTATGCAAAATAATACATCATGTTTTTAAATGGATGACAGCAAAGTGTCAAACATCATCAAGCTGGGAGGGGCTGTCAGAGTACAAAATTTAAACGAAACCAGCATTCAAAATCAATCTGAAAAACTGAAAAAAGTTTCAGAAAAAGGAAGACGCAGTTGAGGACCTCAAGTTCAATACCTGTGCTTAAATGACTGAATCAGAATGGTCAAATCTAAAGGCAGTTGCAAATCCTTGCATAATACACTTATCTACAGAGTGACTGGGAATAAAATCCAGCTCAAAATACAGAATTTCAGGGTAAAACAACCGGCCATGTCTATGTAACAATGGGTCCTAAACTAGCTATAATTATATCAAGAAAAGTCATGGAGTCATAACAGTACCCTCAGCATAGTCACTCTTTGCTCAGCAGTTTGGAGAAGACACCCAGGCTACTAGGACTTAGCAGAAAAAGTAATAATAATATTAATAACAGTGCATGAAGGGAAAAAGAGTTGCTACTTACTTTCCCAACACGAGGCCCAAGGACCATTCAGCTGCAGATGCAGAAAAGCAGAGGCCACGAAGTCAACCATCACACACAAGCTGTGGAACTCAGTGGTATAGGATGCTGTGGGAGCTCAAAGTGGCCTCAAAAAGGATTTGGGCAAATTCAGGTGGGACAGGACTACTGAAGCTCCCTGAGGAGGATTCCAAGGAAAAGAAAATTCTCCTCTCCCTATGCTCTCCCCTTAAGCACCTGGACTAGCTACAGGTGGAGACAATTTGTACCTCAGATGATTAACCCAGTACAGCAGTTCTCAAGTAAAATACAGAAACAGAGCGCTTCCAAGAGCTGTGCTACAACTATTTATACCAGACCTTTTAAACAACAGACCAAGCGAACACTTGTAAGGCACACCCTAGGCATACATTCATCCTGCCTTGGAGACGGTGGGAGCAGATACACGACCACACATCTTTAAAGGACTAAGTTCCTCAAGAGACAAAAACCCAAGTGCTCTGTGACTACGGGACTATTGCTTTGACTCTCCCAGGGCAAACCTCCAAGCCCCACTTCCCCAACAGCCCAGCCCCTCACAGAGCAGCCCCTGCACGAGCATCACCTGTGAAGTTGCTGCTGACAAAGCAACTGCATGCAAACTACAGATTAAGTTGCAGGTTTTATATATTCCTAGTAAGTCATTAAGTTTCTGAAAGCCACAAAGAAACACAATTCCGAAGTCCTTAAAAACAACATACAAACACATTCCAGTGGGGTTTTGTTGTTTGGTCATCATTTGGTTTGGTTTGGTATTTCTTTCCTTTCTCTGTACCATTATTCTTCTTAATAGTCTCAAACAGCAAAGTACTGCGTTCAAGCACAAGCCCCAGCTGAAGGAAACCCTCTTTCCAACAGCATGTGGATGCCTCACGCGAAGCCCTGGGAGTCTTGGATCACCAGAACACGCTTACAGCGCCGGCCCCGCCAAGCTGGAGCCCAGCACTCGGACACCGTGACAAACAGCCACACGGGCAGCCAGCAAGGGAAAGCAGTTCATCCCTGGAAGCATTCAAGGCCAGGTTGGACGGGGCTCTGAGCAATCTGATCTAGTTAGCAGTGTCCCTGCTCACTGTAGGGGGCTTGGACTAGATGACCACTAGTGGTCCCTTCCAACCCTAAACATTCTATGATTCTATGATTCTATGACTGCATGGCCCTGGTTCCTGCTAGCTGCAAGGATCAGTCACTTTTAAAATGGGAAATTGCAATAGCTCAGCTCCTGCCCCTGCTGCTCTGGGCTCCGGTAGCACCACGTAAAGCAGCCCTTGGAGGCACTGGCACCACCTCAGCCCCTTCTTGCTCTGCAGCTGTTCTACAGAAGCTGCTGTGCATCCCCACACTGGGCTCCACACAGCAGCTAGCCCAGAAACACCGTACGCTGAAGAGGATGACCCTTAGTCACTACCTTTACCCCCACCTTTAAAACTTCTCTGGGCATTCACCACTGGCCAGCGGCAGATAAGAGGTTACAGGAATCTCCAATACCTATGCTGACCCCTGCATGAACACACCCTGCTGCAGAGCTGCAGCCAGAACACAGCCAGCACATGGGCAGCAGGGAACTCGGAACTGTTGTAGGTCTGTTCCAACTACTCCCTCACCTAAAGATAGCAATGATCTTCCTTATCTCCTCAGTTACGCTCTCCCTTTGCTTATTGCCAATTTAATCTTGGCACCTCGACGTGTGTTAGGATATATTCGTACCTTGCCAGTGGATAGCCTCAGGCTTGGTGAGACGCTGTACGTAGCTCCCAGACTACTCAAGCACTGCTGCTAGCAGGTACACCCTCTACACTCTGTGCAGAATTAAGCCACAAATAATCAAATTAGTTTCACCTTTAAAATTTTTGAAAGACACATCAAATAACAATTTCTATAGGAAATTGGTTTTTAGCTACAGTCTGCCAGCTCTGTTCCTTCTAATGGAAAAGCTGGTGTACTTGCTCAAAAAAAGGAAGGAAACTTAACTTCTGCACTCCACTCAAACTGAAGTCTTCACATTAATCTTTTGTTTCCTCACTGAAATTCCTCACATAATCAGGCATGCGGGGGGAGGCAGTGAATACCTGTAGATGTTCACAGCCCCCCCCAGGTACTGCACAGAGTAGGATTCATGTGCCCTGGACATGCCCCATTGATAAGACCAGCCTAGAGTCTTGGTGAGATAAAGATCCCCACTAGCGCTATACACACTAGCTATGCTATAGTATATATACTGTAGATTTATTACATATATATATATAACTATGTATAACAGCTCTGTAGTTTGTACGTGGAACAAGCTTCATAAACCTCATTTTCCTTTCCAATAATCTTGAGTCCGATGCACATGCCTTTGGTGGGAGAAAAAAAAACTAACAGTGACTGCTACCCTAGTCCACCCAAGTTCTTTGATCACACTCTTGGCATCAGCAACACATCATTGTGTTGTTCTGTAGAAGGTCAATACAGTGTGTTCAAACCCAAGGGATATGCAGGAACTCAGACTGTTTGGTCTACTGGTAGTAAGAGGACAGTAGGTCTGTACACGTGATACTTTTCCACAGTTCTAGCAGGCCTATGGTATTGCCACAGCTGGCTTTAGGTTTTTTCTTCCCCTTAGTTGTCTTGTGATCAGAAGATAAAAGCCATCTTTTTGATTCAACAGATCTGCATCAGTGCAGAGGCAAAGATTTGCAGTTAGAAAGTTTTAGTACATCCCGCTTACAGAAAGGCAGGCAGTGTAACAGGTAGCACAGAGTGAAATGATGCATATAGGCACGAACAGGCTCCTTCTTCAAGAAAAAAAATGAGGACTCAGTCAAATGGTCAGGGAACTCAAGCGTATAGAAACGATGGCTGGTGGTGTTATTTTATTGATTAG